TTCTTGCTAGTTATCTTGTACAAAAATGCTTTAACTTGCTTGCTGAATATACAAAAAAGTTTGGTGCATAGGTTAAAACCTTAATATCTGTAAAAACCATTACTTGTATAGTCATTTTTTCTACTTTTCTCTAACTAATTTCTATTTTGTTAATCATAAGTTTGGTACAAATAATTATTAGAAAGAGTGCTTTCTTACTATAAGTATAATAAAAATTTATTTATTAAACTGTTTTTAAGTTATTACAATATTTGTTTAATTAATTTATTAAAAATAAAAATTAGTAAAAGTTTTTGTATCATTTTTTCTTTTTTATTTTTAAGTCTTACTAACTTATATTTTATATAATAAATAAATTTTTTAAAAATTTTAAATAAATTAAACAAATTAAATAAATTAAATTAAAAACAAATAAAATTTATTTTTTGTTTTTAAAAAAATATAAATTAATAAAATAAACAAAAAAACCAATATTTTTTGTAAAATCAAAGATATATACAATATATTTAAAAACCTTAAAAAAATTAAATATAAAAAATAAAAAAACAATAAAATCAAATTTTAATTTTAATAATTAAAGATAAAAATGATTTAATATTATAAATTATAATATAGTATTAACAATATTAAATTAAAAAAAAATAATATCAATATACTTGAATTAACAAAAACAAAAATTTTAAACAAATTTTTTTTTATAACCAAAAACATCACGAATTATATATACAAATATCTAGTTAAGTACAAATCTAAACAAAAAAAACCTTTTTATTAACAAAAAATAAAAAAAATATCTTGACCAAATAAAGAAAACAAGTGTATACTAATATTAACCTTATCAATATCAACCTAAACAATAAAATAAATTTCTATATATTAAAATTATGTTAAAATTCCCTTATATATATTAACTTTAATATGATCCCTCATTAATATCACTGTCAACATGGATATAAAATTGATCCAAATGAGTTGATATTAGCAAGGGTCAAGTGTAATTGAATCCCTCTAATTAATAAATGTAATAAATTCTATATAATGTTAAATCAATGAATAATACCTTAGGCCATATGTGTACGAACAGAACCCTCATTGTTACCAATGTGTACCAGCGGAAACCTCATGACTACCAATATGCTGAACTACAGCCCCATCGAAAAAAACACAAAATCTCATTTAAAACTTGTGTATGAGTAGTATAATAAAGGCAATAGGACGCTATTATTACGACATCTCCTCCGATAATGACACTATCACTCTGATGTGTTGGTTTAATATGGGATCATATATTCCTTGAAAGTTATACGGGCCCAAAAGAAATTCACTTTCTTCAATATTTTGGTCTAAAAGAGGTTCATCGTTTTCTGAAAATTCAAAAGGACCAAAGGGAAAACCATATTCGCTAAGAATAGATGCTTCGACTACAGTATCATTTTCAAAATGATCAACTGTAGCAGAATTTTCGGCTTGATCATTAGTAGCATCTTCGTCTTCAACAACAGTAAGTGTTTCGACAACAAGGGGGCCTTCTCTCACCGAATTTTCATGAACATCAGAATTTTCGGTGGTATCGGGCTGGTTTTCATTAAGATCCATAATATATATTTTTTATAAAAAATTTTTGATGCTTAATTTTTTTTATTATTAATTTTGGGTTTTCGGAGGGGGGTTTTTTTTCTTTTTTTTTTTTTTTTTTTGAAAAACGTAACCAATTCAGAAAAAAATCAGCCGAAACGTATTTATATTTTTTCGTGAAACAATAATTACGCAATCGTAAATGCCTTTCACTTTATACACACTGATTATAGTTTAATTGGATCAAATATTGTTGCATGACTTTCTGCTTTTTAACATTCTAGTAAATTTTATGGAAAATGCCGAGTGAACTTAACCATTCAAATTGTTGTTTCTAAGTGAATGTCATGATCACATTAATTA